TTGCTGGTGGTACTGGGACTAGCTAACATTCGGAATATCTAGAGACTGACAATTTAAGTTAAACCTTTGCTTGCTTTTAAGTTTTGCTCTTTTTAGTGAGAGATGTGTGAATACACATGCAATGATCCGCTGGACAGCGCAAATTCCGTCTGACATTGTGCAGGGCGCTGCATGATAAGCTGGTAGTAAAGAAAAATGGCAGTTGATGAATCCAACGAGCATGGAAACAGTCTATGTGCTCAATCTACTTGCGACAGTGTACCCCATAAGGGTTTATGGAAATATATATGACATAACTGGAATATGGTTTATGCTACATATGCCATGTAACATATCTCTGTAAAGGTTATGATCTATTGAATCTATTCATTCTATTTGTATGCATGTGTCATTGTTGTATTTGAAGTTATGAATATTGGCTGTGTACTTGCTTAATTTCTAAGTAGCCTTAGTAAAGCTTTTGGTCAGCTTCTTGAGAAAGGAATGTGCAAATTAAGTGCCCGATCAAGAAACACTTAAAGAACAATGAATCTTGGAAGGTTCCAATCCACATAAGAAATCTACCTGAGGATGTTCAGGGTAGCATGTAAGCAATGGCTGCTGCCTGTAAAAACGGAGTCATGCATGGACATGCGACTTGCCCATGTGACTCCAAAACTCCATTTTGGAGCTGGACTTTGCATAGGAGAGAGGAGGGGGTCTCCACCAACAAGAGAAAGTCTATTTAAGCCCGTGGGAGACCCCTCCATTTTGTCTTCAGCTGACTAAAGAGATAGCCTCTCCACCCCCAAGGATACCTGAAAGAAACTGGAACAAAGGACAGTAACTACAGGGGGTGTGAGTGATTGCTGGACCCAGACTAGAAGGAGACTAGTCTGTAAAAGGAAGCTTACTGGAACTTCTCAGAGGGTGAGATTTTATCTGTATTCAGTTTTATTACTGTATTAGGCATAGGCTTGCGTGTTTTATTTTATTTTGCTTGGTAATTCACTTTGTTCTGTCTGTCACTACTTGGAACCACTTAAATCCTACTTTCTGTATTTAATAAAATCACTTTTTACTTATTAATACCTGGGGGGCCAAACAGCTGTGCATCTCTATCAGTGTTATAGAGAGTGAACAATTTAGGAGGGTAAATTTAGAAGGAGCTTTATACAGGGTAAAACGGATTTATTTCGGGTTTGGACACCATTGGGAGTTGAACATCCGAGTGTTAAAGACAGAAACACTACTTAAGTTGCTTTCAGTTAAGTCTGCAGCTTTGAGGCATGTGGTTCAGACCCTGGGTCTGTGCTGGAGCAGACTGGCATGTCTGGCTCAACAAGACAAGGTGCGGGAGTCCCAAGCTGGCAGGGAAAGCAGGGGCAGAAATAGTCTTGGCACATCTGTTGGCAGCCCCAAGAGGATTTCTGTGATCCAACCCGTCACACTACTTGTGTCAGGAATATGTCTGTGATGGAAATGCATCTTTCTGGAAGATACTGGGAGAGAGACCATACCCTCATAGAGGCAAAAACAAGAGGTAGGGAAACGTTTAATTTGGAAAGATCTTAGTTCTCTGCAGGGGCTTAGCAGCAAGACGATACCTTGAAAAAGACAAATGAAATCCTGGAAGTCAAAAATGTGATTTCTTAATTCTAGGGAAGGTGGCTGCAGTGAATGATTGAAGTTCTCAGAGCTGCAACCATCATGTCTAGTCCACAAAACACCCAATTTTACCAAGACAGTTTCATTTACTAATACATGGACGATTAGTGACACCACTCGTATTTTGCCCAGATTCTGTATTTATGGAAAGGCAATGGTTCACAACTAGAGGATGAGGTAGGTTATACAGAGCAGTTTTACTACAACAGTTCTTAAAATGGTCCATCTGAATTCATAGTACAAGGATTTGCAAACTTTTCTGTTGTTGACTACATCTTCAAGTCTAATGGATCACCTCCCTCGCATACATGGTACTTTCAACCTCCCTCTTATTTGCAATCGTAACATTCCTAATGCAACTATGCAATCACTTCAATGGCAAAGTAATACTAGGAAGCCATTTACTGTATTTTTAGCCTTTTTAAAGAAGTTTAGTAGCTGGAAACAATGAAAACCAGAAACATGCAATAAGCCAGCTCTCCAATGACTACCAGAAATTACCCCATCAATTTATATTTTGGTAAATACAAAAGTAGATTGACTGCTGTCTTCTCCCTTTGCATCTCAGGCAATGCAAAAGCAAAAACTATCTGCATCTTCTAATGTCCACAGTAACAGCTCCTGTGCTTCCTCCCTGCCACCCTATAGCACTGTTGCAGGGGACAGTGAGTGTTGTATTCCTGATATTCGCTCAATAGCAATAGGCCACTGGGGACACCTGCCTTAGGTTGGTGCAGTCCCTATTCAGCACTTACATGTTAGCTGAGCTACAGCAGAGAATCAGAGATTTGTACCCAGCTCCCTGACAGTCTCTGCTTTCTATTATGCCATGCAGATCTCTGCCACAGCAGAGAATCTGTCTTGCTCGTTTAGGCCTACCAGGTTAGGAACTCTGCTAGCACTAGGAGTTAAACAATGGCTGGTACTAGCACAGTTTTACCTATGAGGCAGGTAGGATCTTTGCAGACAAAAGGAAGCTTCTCAGCAAAGGCAACGGATTTTGACAAGAAGTGCTGCAGTGCTTCCACCCTGCGTGTTCCTCCTTTACAAACACCAAATAATGGGGGCGGTGGGGTGCAGGTCGCGGGTGTAAAGATCTCTGATCCCCTACAGCAAAACCCCATAATCCTATAGTGATGGTCGGCCTCTTTTGCTGGGATCGCATCCCCCATCATGACGGGTTCACACAGGCCGGTGAGTCACATCCCTCTTCCCCCCCGGGAGAGTCATTCCCAGGACAGAGGGAATAACCAGGGCGGGAAGGGGCCTGGTCATGCAGAGAGCACCTGTCACAGGCGGGCGAGCGGTCCCCGCCTGGCAGGAGCGGGAAGGTATCGAGCCCCCGGCGGCCCGGCCAAGGGAAGACAAGGGGCTAGCAGCATGCCTGAGTGGGGGACTGTCTTCCCCGGCACCCAGAAGCTGCTGTGCCCAGTCGGGGAGAGCCAGAGGCGATGAGGCAATCTCCGCACTGCCGCTGGGAACAAGCCTCCAGCCCGGCTAGGGTGACCAGATATCCCGATTTTATAGGGACAGTCCCGATACTTGAGGCTTTTTCTTATATAGGTTTATATTACCCCCCCCCCCGTCCCGATTTTTCACAGTTGCGGTCTGGTAAGCCCGGCAGACGGGCCCGCACTACGATCGCAGCATGGAAGCGGTGCTCAGGCTCTCAATGGCCCCGACCCCCGGGCCTGGGCTCAGGTGACCACCAGCCCGAGCCTTCGCCGGCGCCGCAGCGCCCCCGCTGCTTCACCAGCGCCACCTCCTGCAGCTCCACCAACCGCGTCGCCCCGCCTGCCGGCCAGAGACCGGCCGCCCGCTCCCGTCCCCCCAGCCCGCGCCCGCAAAGCCCCGGCCGGCAGCCCGCTACTCACAGCCCGTCTCCTTCTTGATCTCCTCGATCTCCTCGTCCCGCAGCAGCGAGGATGCTCGCGAGCCCATCTCCGGCCGCCGCCTCTGGCCGCAGGGGAGCGGGGCAGTGACAGCCGCGACGCTGCGGACCGCACAGAGAATGGGGGAAAAGGCAACGGCGACCTCGGCCAATCAGCGGGTCCCGGACGCTGCGGCTGGACGCCTGTGAGGAGAAGGGGGGTCAGAGAGACCTGCGCTTCCTCTTATCAACCCCGGCCGCGGGGGGTGGAGCACCCCTCCCGCCCCACGCTGTAACCCCGCCCCGCAGCTCCTCGCCTCTCACAGAGGAGAGCTCATCAGCGCCTGCGCGGAGCGGCTCCTGTCTTCCCTCCCGCTAACGGTCACACTTAGGACTGTTTAACGTCATCACGAGAGGCCCTAAAAGCGCGGCCCACGGAAACTACTACTCCCAGCATTCAGCGTTGCGCGTGGCACTGATTACTCACCTCAAGGTGCCGCATTGTACTCTGGGAGTTATAGTCCCCAACACGGCTCTGATGCCAAGCTAGGAGCAGGGAGTTTGTATGTTCTAAGGTGCCCGCCGCCCTGCCCGCGCTATCTACCAGCGAGTCGCTCCGTGCGGGTCCGGAGGACTTGGTAGTGGGGAGGGAACTTAGGAGCTGCTCCTGTGGGGTCCGGGCCCCTGGTGTGATTCCTTGCCCCATGCAGTGACCTTAGTGGTGACCTATTTACCCCCAGGGCTGTCTCTGGGTTCCCCCTGCCCCGCGGGCCCCAGGGCGATCCCTTCCTGGCTGCCCTGCACCTGCGTGCGGGCTGAGGGGCTCCCGACACGCGCTGTCACTCCAACTGGGTGAGCTGCGGCTCGAGGTCACGCCCAAGGGCGGTGTTGAGGTCACAAAAGCAGCCCCAGCGTGGGGCGAGTTAGTGCGCTGCACAATAGGGAGGGAGCACTGGCTGGCAGAGAGGAGGATTTGATTTGGCAAACCATTAGAGATGTTCGTAAAGGTTGGGAACCGCTGCCGAGCTGGTTGGTCCCTGTATAACTGCTCTGCACCTAACAGTGCACGGTATTTACTTTTTAGTCAATGGGTCTGCTTAATCTTAGTGTTAACAGTTCCCATTTAGGAGAGAAACTCGTGATCTGTTCAGCAAAATTTCTGGGATTGTTATACTTTTCTACAGTAATAATAATTTCAATCCTGTAGTGTGCAAAGGGTCTTCAGATTTTGACATTTATGCTCCATTTGACAGGGAAGCATACAGTGCTGGCTTTTAGAGCTAAATGTAATGTATTTTATTACCATTGCCCCATGTATGCAGTTGTTCGACAAATGTGGTGCCTGTATGTGTATAGGTATATGAAATATTATATGCTGGGGTGCTTTCCTCCTCAATCTACAGCTTTATTCTAGTGGATGCTGAGTGTCACAGCTGGAGGGCATTAATATGATTCTGGCTCTATCTTTTCATTTTTCTTCTTGGATTATCCTGCAGAGGTCCTAAGAAAGCAAATCTTTTAACAGAGGAGTTCCCCTTTTCATTTCCTACTCTGCTTTGAGAACCAGACTATTTGGGGAGCTAGTTTGGGGATATACCAGCATGGATCCAAGCAACGATTACCAGTTCCTCAATGAGATTCTGGGAAAAGCAGTGAAAATCACCTTGAAATGTGGCATCTTCCAGGGAATATTGCAGCATGTGGATTCCAGCAGAAGTATCGTTCTGAGCAGAGGTTTAACTCTTGTTCTGTACTTGTCACCTAAATTAATGTAGTTCTTCAAATGCTGGGGGGGGAGGGGGAGTTCATGAAGGTGTATTTACATATTCTAGATTGGATAGGGTAGGGGCTCATTGGCATGCTATATCATATGTTGGAAGGGTGTGTGGGTTGAAACTTCATATCCCATATTGGAAAGAGAACATTGTTTCCCACATGAGGAAGAATAGATTCATGTGATAGATGTACAATTTTTGATGTGCCAGGACTGAATGGAGTGTTTGTTCCATACCATTCTCTGGTCTTTTCTGAGACTATTTAGACTGAGTAGATGGAGGGCATTGCTTGCCCAAATTCTGAATGTAGTGAACAAATCTGAGATTCTGTTTATTTTAAAAGATATCTGAGATTTTAAGTGAAATAGAGGCATAATCTACCTTCAGGATTTATCTTGAACAAGTTAAATCTGCATGTAGTCTTTATTTCTAGAGAGTAGGAACAGGAGAGGGTTCTGATGTACTTATGCCTTGCTCAGCAATAATTATGTGTAACTGGAATCTGTGCCACTCAGATTACTTAATAGCTGACTTTCACTGATAATTCCAGAATAATTAATCTTCAACCATTCAGAAACTAAATAGAAGTAGGCTGCTCAGTCTTTCATGCAGACTGCACCTACTGCTGATTGTACCAGGCACAGACTAACCTTCCATTGATTTCAGAGGGGCGTTGTTGTACTCATGCAATGAAAAACAAGCAGCAGAAGAGTGAACACTCTTACTTAATGTAACATTACAAAGGAAATGGGCCCAGCTGTGCTCTCAGCTTTGGGATTGCAAAAGAATAACTGAGTCCAGAATTTGCCCCGTAGTGTCCACCAGACATTTGCATACAACACGCTCATTGTTTTTTGTATCAGTTTTACTCAATACAGTCATTTGAAATTGTTTTTTTGCTTTTGCCAATTGTCATTAGCGAGGACAGTTCTCTGGCCTTATTTGGTGTGTAATCAGTTCTTACCTTTACTTTTATTGCAGAGCTCAATGTTTCTGATTATTTATCTACCTAACATTTAATTATTTCAGTGAAGAACTTGGAAACAGGCAGAAGCATGGCAGGTGTGAAGATGTTTTTTGGTTATGAAATTGTGAATGGTGAGAACTTTCTTTGTTCTGCAAGGGTGAGGTTCATGGGTACTATCACATGTTTAGCACTTTTGTTTTTCTTTTCTAATGATGGGCCCTATTCAGGCCTTCTTATTTGGATAAAAGTCCCATTTTAGTCGTCGAGAGTTTCGGCTGAGTAACTCCTAAGTAAGGAGAGGAAAGATGCCTAGGGGTAAGGGCCCTAGTCTAGGACTTGGGAGATCTGAATTCAAGTCCCTGCTGTGACGAGCAAGTCGCTAACCTCTCTATGCCTCAGTTTCCCCATCTGTAAAATGGGGATAATAGTACTACTTTTCCTCAAAGGGATGTTGTGAGGATAGATGCATTAAACATTGTGATGTGCTCAGATGCTACAGTAATCAGAGAGGGCCATGTAAGTATCTTAGGCTTTGTCTACACTAGCACTTTTGTCTGCAAAACTTTTGTATGTGAAAAAAACAAAATTGAAAAAGATTCAGTGAGAAGTCTCTTGATTAGATTTTCACTTTCCCCTGGAGTGTTTAAGCCAATAATAGAATTGTGTTAAAAATGAAACTGATTATAACAAATGAAACTGACTATAATAAAACTTTATAATCCAAGTGTTAAGTAAATAAAAACTGAAAACATTTTAAAGGGACTCATTAAGACATAATAATTTGAACAGCACATGAGAACTCTCTCTTCAATATTTCATTAAACTGTGCATTCTGTAAAACACACAAAATAGCTGATGTTTTCCTGTCTTTCAAAAATTTAATAGTAGATGTTATAATGAGGTCTCTTATTACTGTGATTTAAAGGGACACTGTCAACTTAAAAATCATTCTTCTGTCTGAAAATGTACTTAAAATAATAGATAAAACCTAAGATTACTATAGCTGAGAGGTCGGGGGAAAATATTTCCTGTTCCTCTTTCCCTGCTCCCCCACAGCTTATTTACTTTGTGCATATAACAGCACTTAGCATATCATCAATTTTGTTCTTTTCCCTATATAATGAGTCAGTTTCCCAATTTGTTTGTTTTGGGACTGTCACATAGCAATATAGGTGAGAAGAACATTAAAAAAAAATAGGAAAATTTGATTATGCAACGATAAAATCAGCAGGGAAGTAGTATCCAAAACTGCAAGAATTATAAAATGGGGATAGTAGTACTTGATCATCAATCTCAAAGGGCATTGTTAGGATTAGTTAATGTTTATAGAGTTCTTGAACATATAAAGTGCTATATGGGGCTGATCCAAAGCCCGTTACAGTCAATGTAAAGATGGCCATTGCTTCAAACTGTGGATCAGATTCTTTAATTTAAACTACTTTAACGCTTTTTAAAAAAAATTGACAATATTTCAAGTTGATGGTCTCCCCTTAAGTATTTTTATAAAGTATGCTACATTACATTGGTTAGTATGCAGTGCCACATTATACTGATTAATATGCTCTGAAGTACTATCTGAATTAATTAAAACTAGGCAAATTAAATGATCAAAGTACGTTTTCAGATTTATTAGCCTTGTGTTCATGTCTTGTTCACTTCATTAATTCATGGAAACACCTTGTGGAAAGGCTGTGTTGGGGTGATCACTATTGCCTCTGCTTGTCTTCTTCCCCAGATCCAAAAAGACAGGAGTCCGAGCACTCCATTCTCAGACAGAAGAATTTTACTGATGAAACAAACTGTGGAGTCAAACTGTCAGAACTTTATTTTGAAGCCACTCCCACAGATCAATAACTCATGTGCAGTATGCTACTCCTGAGGCCTTTTTAAAGCTTCATTGGGGATAGCCATTGTGAATTTTTTAGAAATGTCCCTAGTGTAGACCGGCCTAACTGTTTCTGTGTACTGCTGACACTCTCAGTTTTGCACTGGGGGCAAGGAGATGGAAGGCAGCTCTGAGGGATCTATGTACTATACATCCTTGCCTCCTCCTTTGGTTTATCACATTTACAACAAAATTTAATCTGTAAACTGTGGTGGTGCAATATTGGCCTTATGCAGGGCCATATAGGTTTCAGTAGAGATGCTGTAGCATCAGTTGGTTCAACTTAAATGCCACTGGTGTAAAATATTTCTCCTGCATGCTGTTGCCTGTGATATCTGATCTATGATTACTTTTTACAATGAATGCCCCTTTTTTCACTATGCCCTGCCATGACTGTGTTCCAAACTGGTCAATACTAGTTCTGGCTCCTCTTCAACTTCTTGGGGATTAAATGTAGTTCCTAGTCAAAGAGTTGCTGATGTTAGAGCTGTAACAGAAGTTGTTGTTTTTTATTACAGTGGAACTGCTGGAGGAACTGGAACAAGATGCAGCAAGAGGAGCTGCAACTCCCATCAGGTATGTTGGAAGGGACTTATCTTTCATGACTGGAAAAAGAGTGTACCTATTAGAATAGCCAACAAATGGATGGAAAATCTTATGAGTGTAAGGTTAAGTGACACCAAGATTGTGTTGAACTGTTCTAAGAGGGAGTGGGTAAGGAGATGTCTGGGGTGCTTCCATTACTGAAAAGACTCTTCTAAGATTTTCCTCCTTCCTCCACCAATGAATAATTTGTTTGGTTTGTTTTATAATGAACTTGTGGTTTCCAGGGAATATTTCTCACAAAAAAACCTTCATCCGTGGCCAAACAGTTGTACAGGGGAAGCTACATTTCAAACCTTATCAAATGTAGGTGTATGTGACATCTGGAAGCTGGCACAGGTGTGGATTTGTACTTAAAACTCTTTCATTTCTACTCAGAGTTGCATCTCCAACACAAATTGTGTTAGGTTACTTGGTTTTCAAGTACTTCCCAAGACCATATTTGAAACTATTTAATTTCCCTCATAAGGGAAATGGGGATTGACTGGCTTTTGCTAACCGCTCCCTTAAACTGGAGTTTGCAAGGCGAATACCACTCTGTTTAGCAGCAATCTTTTACATGTACAAAAAGTCTAACTTAGTCTTTTAACAAAACTTATTCCTGTATTCATCAATCCTTTAAATAGAAGCTTTTTGATAAATGATCCTTTATGTCTTTAGGGGCTTGTCTTCTCACTTGTACTGCTTTAATTATACTGGTGTAGAAACAGATATTGTTCAAGAGATATAACCTTCTAGTGTGGATGCAGTTATAATGGTGTAACAGCACTTACAGCGATATAGCTTATAAACACTATGAATTGTACTGATGTAAGTGTTTTGGTATAAAAGCATACTCCACCAAGGTAGTTAAATCCTTAAAACTGTGTAGATCAATCCTAAGCCAGGTGCTTCAGTATTCCTTGAAAATATGGGTAAGATCTGATGAGAAACAGTCATAGATCCATAGATTCTAGGACTGGAAGGGACCTCGAGAGGTCATCGAGTCCAGTCCCCTGCCCGCATGGCAGGACCAAATACTGTCTAGACCATCCCTGATCCCATTCAATTACATCATGTAATGGCAGACAGCTAAAAAGTGACAAGTTTTTAAAGTGCTTTTATACAAATGCTGGAAGTCTAAATAATAAGATGGGTGAACTAAAGTGCTTCATATTAAATGAGGATATTGATATAATAGGCATCACAGAAACTTGGTGGAATGAGAATAATCAATGGGACATAGTAATACCAGAGTACAAAATATATTGGAAGGACAGAACAGGTCGTGCTGGTGGGGGAGTGGCACTCTATGTGAAAGAAAGTAGAATCTAATGAAGTAAAAATCTTAAATGAACCAAACTGTACCATAGAACCTCTATGTATAGTAATTCCATGCTCTAATAATAAAAATAAAGCAGTAGGGATACATTACCGACAACTTGACCGTGATGGTGATAGTGACTGTGAAATGCTCAGGGAGATTAGAGAGGCTATAAAAATAAAAAACTCAACTATCCCCATATTGACTGGGTACATGTCACCTCAGAATGGGATGCAGAGATAAAGTTTCTTGACACCTTAAATGACTGTTTCTTGGAGCAGCTAGTCCTGGAACCCACAAGAGGAGAGGCAATCTGGTCCAAGAGGTGAATATAGCTGGACTGTTTGATAATAGTGACCATAATATAATTAAATTTAACATCCCTGTGGCGTGGAAAACACCACAGCAGCCCAACACTGTAGCATTTAATTTCAGAAAGGGAGACTACACAAAAATAAGAAAGTTAGTTAAACAGAAATTAAAAGGTGCGGTGCCAAAAGTGACATCCCTGCAAGCTGCATGGAAACTTTTTAAAGACACCACAATAGACGTGCAACTTAAATGTATATCCTAAATTTAAAAAAAACAGTAAGCGAATGAAAAAAGTGCCACTGTGGCTATACAATGAAGTAAAAGAAGCAGAGAGAGACAAAAAGGCATCCCTTAAAAAGTGGAAGTTAAATCTTAGTGAGGAAAATAGAAAGGAGCATAAACTCTGGCAAATGAAGTGTAAAATATAACTAGGAAGGCCAAAAAAAAATTTGAAGTACAGTTAGCCAAACACTCAAAAAGTAATAGCAAAAAAAAAACTGTTAAGTACATCAGAAGCAGGAAGCCTGCTAAACAACCAGTGAGGCCACTGGATGATCAGGATGCTAAAGGAGCACTCGAGGATGATAAGGCCATTGCGGAGAAACTAAATGAATTCTTTGCATCAGTCTTCATGGCTGAGGATGTGAGGGAGATTCCCAAACCTGAGCCATTCTTTTTAGGTGACAAATCTGAGGAACTGTCGCAGATTGAGGTCATTAGAGGAGGGTTGGAACAAATTAATAAACTAAACAGTAAAAAGTCACTAGGACCAGATGGTATTCACCCAAGAGTTCTGAAGGAACCCAAATGTGAAATTGCAGAACTACTAACTGTAGTTTGTAACCTATCATTTAAATCGGCTTCTGTATCTAATGACTGGAGGATAGCTAATGTGACACTAGTTTTTAAAAAGGGCTCCAGAGGTGATCCCAGCAATTACAGGGTGGGCAACCTGGTTGAAACTATAGTAAAGAACAAAATTGTCAGACACATAGATAAACATAATTTGTTGGGGGAAGAGTTTTTTGTAAAGGGAAATCGTGCCTCACCAATCTACTAGAATTCTTTGAGGGTGTCAACAAGCATGTGGACAAGGGGGATCCAGTGGATATAGTGTACTTAGATTTTCAGAAAGCCTTTGACAAGGTCCCTCACCAAAGGCTCCTAAGTAAAGTAAGCTGTCATGGGATAAGAGGGAAGGTCGGATCAGTAGCTCTTTAAAAGATAGGAAACAAAGGGTAGGAATAAATGGTCAGTTTTCAGAATGGAGAGAGGTAAATAGTGATGTCCCCCAGGGGTCTGTACTGGGACCAGTCCTATTCAACCTATTCATAAATGATCAGGAAAAAGGGGTAAACAGTGAGGTGGCAAAATTTGAAGATGATACAAAACTACTCAAGATAGTGAAGTCCCAAGCAGACTGTGAAGGGTTACGAAAGGATCTCACAAAATTGGGTGACTGGCCAACAAAATGGTAGATGAAATTCAATGTTGATAAATGCAAAGTAATGCACATTGGAAAACATAATCCCACCTATCCATATAAAATGAGGTCTAAGTTAGCTGTTACCACTCAAGAAAGAGATCTTGGAGTCATTGTGGATAGTTCTCTGAAAACACCCACTCAATGTGCAGTGGCAGTCAAAAAAGCGAACAGAATGTTGGGAATCATTAAGAAAGGGATAGATAATAAGACCGAAAATATCATATTGCCTCTATATAAATCCATGGTACGCCCACATCTTGAATACTGCATTCAGATGTGGTCGCCCCATCTCAAAAAAGATATATTGGAATTGGAAAAGGTTCAGAAAAGGGAACCAAAAAGGATTAGGCGTATGGAATGGCTTCCATATGAGGCGAGATTAATAAGACTGGGACTTTTCAGCTTGAAAAAGAGTTGACTAAGGGGGGATATGATTGAGGTCTATAAAATCATGACTGGTGTGGAGAAAGTAAATAAGGAAGTGTTATTTACTTCTTCTCATAACACAAGAACTAGGGGTCATCAAATGAAATGAATAGGCAGCAGGTTTAAAACAAACAAAAGGAAGTATTTTTTCACACAATGCACAGTCAGTCTGTGGAACTCTTTGCCAGAGGGTGTTGTGAAGGCCAAGACTATAACAGGGTTCAAAATAGAACTAGGTAAGTTCATGGAGGATAGATCTGTCAATGGCTATTAGCCAGGATGGGCCGGGATGGTGTCCCTAGCCTCTGTTTGCCAGAAGCTAGGAATGGACGACAGGGGATGGATCACTTAATGATTACCTGTTCTGTTCATTCCATAGGCGCCAACTTCTCCTGGCGCCGGTGGGTGCTCGGGCCCCCCCACCCCAGCCCCACCCCAACACCACCTCTGCCCTGCCCCCATTTCGACCCGTTCCCCAAAGTCCCCACCCCAACTCTGCCCTGTCCCTGCCCCTTTTGGACCCCTTCCCCAAATCCCGGCCCCGCCTCTTCCCCGCCTCCTCCCCTGAGCGCACCACGTTCCCGCTCCTCCCTCCCACAGCTTGTTACAACATGTGGGGCAGCTCACCACATGTCTGTATGTATGTGTAGGATACTGGATGAAAGTCAAACAATGCCTTAGAACATATTATCAAGTTTATGTTGTATGTCCCAATGTGTGTTCACTGCAGCACTGTACGTGATATCTTACACTGTTTTCTTGTGCAGGGACAGTCTAGTTACTGGAGGAACTGGAATGGACAGGGGAGAACCAGCAGAGCACAGCCCACAGAGTTCTACTTGCATTTCCCCAGAGAGCCGGTTCACCACCCTGAGTAACTTAAAATATACCCTGGCAGGTAACTGTGGTATTAGGAATGCAAGTTCAGTCTTTCTGCAAGCCAAACACTTAGTATGTGACACTAGCTCCTTTCCCAGGTTCTATATCCTTTTCACACTCTATATACAAAATGGATCCAAAATAACTAAATAGTTTTTTTTTTTAATTCTCACCTTTAGTTATTTTAGGGCAAATGTGTGTGTGGACTCCTATATTTTGGAATAAGAGTGCCTGTCTCTTAAGTCAAATTGAAATAAGGCACTCTTGTTCCAAAATATGGCAGTCCATACACAGACTTGCTCTGAAATAACTAACTGTGAATTAAAACCGATTTAGTTATTTCATTTCCATTTTGTGTGTAGCCAAGCCCTTATTCATGAAGCAGCTTGAAACCTTAAACAGAAGTGCAAGTTTACATCAGAATGGTACAAGCTCCTTGGCTTGTCATAAACGGAAAACAAGAAGATGGCACTGGAGCTGCTATTAAAATACTCTCCAATTTGTCCTGGCTAATGAGGAGGAAAAAGTTCTCTCCATAATAAATGCATTTTAGTACTTGTGCCTTCAAGAGGCTCTTTGAATAAACTTCATTAAATGGGCTCCAATTATCTCGTAGATCAGTTAACACTAAAGCCTAATGATGCCAATTTAAATGTCAACTTTGCTGACTATTTCACTGTTGATTGTTTCAGCATCAACATGCAGCCATTCTGGGACTGTGGCCCTGTAGTCTCTCCCTCCTCACCTTTTGAACTCAAGTGGTTCACAACACCTTTTCCTCCCACGTTCAACTGCAGGCTCATAAGGAGCAATATGAAAATATACAATATATATTATATAAAAGGAAATCTTAGTTGTCACATTATACATTTTTCATAACACTTATACTATGGATTTCTCCCAGCTGTAAAATGACTCTTTCACAAAGCAGCACAACTACTCTTGCACAGAAGTCAAAGTATTTCATGCAATAAGCTATACATCTTGTGAGTGTGTTAATCTGATGTTTCATTATTTTGTGGTGTCAACTAAAAACTTAAGCCTGATTGGCCATTGATGATCAGCACGAGGCTGGTTATTATACTTGGAGAATACTTGCAGTGCGTTGGTGTTCAAGTAGAGCAGCTCCTGCTTTGTGTGCAAGTGGTTCCAGATTCAAAATCTGGCTAATGTCTTGCAAGGGGTTCAGATACCATGGCACTACAAGAATCTTCTATTCTGTTCGGTATTGGAAGTACAGTTACAACAACCCAGGAAGTGGAAGAATGGAGCAAAGTTTGAACATGATGACTTGCAAAGTATTTTTTAAAGTGAGGCTTATGTTCTTTTTCAGTTCTTTAAGACGGACAAAAATACTGAAAGGAAGGGTTTTTTTAATTTCCTGCATTTAAAAAAAAAAATTAGAAATGTCAGGATTGTGTCAAGTCCAGTCTTTCCTAGCTTTGCTAGAAGATCTTCAGGGGGTGTCAGAGATGTGTGTTGTGAGCTCTCACACCTTAACTGAAAGAAAAGGGAGTGCTCAATCTTTTCAAACAGAGCCTTTCTCTAGGTGTTTGTTAAGCATTATTGTTAACTAGGTATTAACAAAAACAAAAATATCAGAATTTTAAGACTGGCTAAAAATCCCTTTCTCTCTTGATTGCTTAATTTTCACTCTCTTGTGATGTCATCACTTAGTAGTTCTGCCCTCATTATAACATGTTCCAGGTTGGACAGAAGCTGAATTTTTAATGTTAAAAAATCTTTTTACAAAACTTTTCCTGCCTCCTCTCTATTTCATAACAGAAACTAAAATGGGCACCTACCTATTTTTTTTACATTTAAAGATTACTTTTAAAACTCATTAGTGGTTTCTGTTTCACATTGAGATCAAAATCCTGGAGGCTGGAGTTGCTGCTGACAATCATTCTACGTTTGCTGGGCATAGTTGCAGCAAACTTGGTTTGGAAATGCAGTAATGTACTTGGACTTTTTTGTTTTGGAGGAAAGGGAAGGTGGGACTGTGTACAGCTATCGTAAAAAATGGGACTTGAGTGTGGGTATGAAATATACATCCACTGTGATTACTGATGCAGGAGAAATCTCTAATGTTGTGTTTTTCATTGCAGAGGAGGAAGAAGAGGAAAATATGGAGTACATAGTCATTGATCAATTCCAGCAGAAATTTGGTCCCGCTGTGAGTAATAACAATGATAACATTCAGGCTATGTCTACATTACAAAGTTAAATCAACTTAAGTTACATCAACAATCATCCACCGCTGTAATTCTACTGCTTTTGCAGTCCACATAACACTCATTATGATGGCGGAGCGCGTCCACAGTTGGCGCTCTTGCATCGACAGACAGAGCAGTGCACCATGGGTAGATATCCCACTGTGCAACTTGCCACCATCTGCCACTGGGTGTTCTGGGAAGGGTTTGCAGTGCCTTGTGGGGGGCGGGGGTTCACCGTCCCATGATGCAGTTTTCTCCATCCCGTTATTCCATGGGCTTCCAACTACATTTTGCGCGGCTTTTCAACAGCCACTGTAAACTGCGTGCCTGCCATCTCTGTCTCAAAGCATGGATCCTACACTGCTCTCCAGTATTGTGATGAGTGTTATGAACACAGCATTTCATTAGCTGTGAATTTGATGATGACTCCTGCTCTATGTCATGGAAAGAAACAATTCAAGATTGCTTTTGGCATTCACGGAGCAACTGCACATGGTGGACCATTGGTTCTGTGCGCAGGAAACAAGCACTGAGTGGTGGGATTGCATCATGATGCGTATATGGGGTGATGAGCAGTGGCTGCAGAATTTTTGGATGCACAAAGCCACCTACCTGGAACTATGTGTGGAGCTCGCCCCTGCCTTTTGGCGCAAGAACACCAAAATGAGAGCTGCCCTAACAGTGGAGAAACAAGTGGTGATCGCTGTGTGGAAGCTGGCAACTCTGGACTGCTACTGCTCAGTCACAAATCAGTTTGGAGTTGGGAAGTCCACTGTGGGGGTTGTAGTGATTCAAGTGTACAGAGCCCTTAATTGCCTCCTGTTACGAAGGACTGTGAATGGGAAATAGTGGATGGCTTTGCAGCAATGGGATTCCCAAACTGCAGCAGGACGATAGATGGCACACACATCCCCATTTTGGCGCCAGACCACCTTGTGATGGAGTACATCCACAGAAAGGGCTACTTTTCTATGGTATTACAATCTCTGGTGGATCACTGGGGTCGTTTCACCGACATCAAGGCGGAATGGTCAGGGAAGGAGCATCGAGATGGATTGTCAGTCTGCTGATTTTGAGCAGCCAGATACTAAGGCTATTACTTAGTACTAAGGATACTAAGAGGGATTCAACGAGGGGGCTATTCAAATCAGAGAAGCTTTGAAGGAACATTGCCATTGGGTATGAATTTCAGCAGCAATCACTGTTTGTAGGAGACAAATGAAAATTCCATATCTTTCTATAAGTACATTTTTTTTTATTCAACAGCAATACAAACATTTATTTGTTCTGCATGGGATATGAAAATGAAGAGCACATTTTCAAATGAGGTGCTCACAGTTGGGTATATGTCCAGCTGTCATTGTGATACATATCCTTCGGGGCGGAGTGCATGAGGTATTGAGATGGCCCACGAACATACGAGGAGTGTGTGTGGGGAGGGCATGGAAGGCAGTTCTCTATGGGCTGCAGGGGGAGGCAAACATGCATTTGTTCCATCTGCAGTTCAGTCAGAGACCTCAGAATGTCTGTTTGGTCCTGTAGCAGCTGTATCATCTGCTCCTGTCCTTGTTTCCTCTCTTGGCTATCCATATGCATTTTCTCACTGATATACTCTCTGCTCAGAATCCGAAGTATCTGAGGATTGCTGCACTTCCCGGAACATGTCTTCCTTATTCCTCCTGTTTCATTTCCTTATCTGACAGAGCCACTCAGCCGGTGTGCAGAAAGAGACCGTCAAGGGCACATCTGCAGAAGCTAAAGAAATAATAGGCAGAGGCACTATTGTGAGTGCATTCACAGCCTTGATTCAAACTAGTTAGAAACACCACTTTCTCACTTCCCCTTGGCAGGCACACAGCACGGCGGGAGCCCCAGCCATGGTGAGTTTGGCCCTGCGGTAGAAGGGGCAAGATGGGACTAAGGGTGGGGGGCTTCAGAAGGGAATCACTATAAGCGCCTAGGGCCACTATTCTGAATACTGGTACCATTTTCCACAGGCGGGGGTGATAGCAGCTGATATCTTGCTCCTGAGGGTAACCGAGGATGCAAGGTTGCAGCTCCTGCTTACATGTGGCTGCAGAGCAGGTCCGTATGCTGCTTGCCTATGTGCTGCTTTGTTGCCTGCAGAAATAATTGCCGATTCGTGCAGCAAAGTTTCCTATAGCGTGGGAAAAACAAAGTAGCCCTCCCAAGCAATTTTTGGCAGAGGATTGCAGAGAACCTACAAGAAAGTTTCCTAGCGATCTCTAAGGAGGATTCCTGGGACATCCTGGTGGGCATCAACAAACTTTTCCGCAGGACCCCCTCTGCCTAGGTGCATAGGGGAATGAGAAGCATATACTGTGCCTATGTTGGTTATTTAAGTCCCCCTTCTACCCTGATTAAAAAAGCAGAGCTCTACTTCTTGTCTCCCTGCAGTATCAAAGAACAAAGTATTTTCCAGAGCTCCCCTTTCTTGCATCAGGCGTGCCACAGCCGGAGTGCTGCGACTGGCTAGATCCCTCCGGAGTTAAGAGGAGGTCCTGGCTCACCATGCCACCGGACGTCCCTGTCATCTGTCCCAATCCTCCTCTAACTGCACTTCCTCTTCCACCACATCTTCCTCGGGGTTGACTCCACTGACCACTGTCTCCAGCTCCCGTAAAGCTCCTTGTAGAAGCAGCAAATCTTTAGAAATGCACCAGACCAACAAGTGGCCTCCCTTGCCTTCTGGTATGCCTGCCTCAGCTCCTTGATCTTGGCATGGCACTGCTGCGTGTCCCTATTGTGCCCCTTCTTCTCCATGCCATGAGCAATCTGCCCATAGATATCAAAGTTCCTGTGGCTGAAGTGGAGCTGTGACTGCACAGCTTCCTCTCCGCACAGACCCAGCAGATCCAACAACTCAAGTGTACTCCAGGCAGGCGCACATTTTGTTTCAGGGAGCCAGCATGGTCAGCTGGGCAAATGCTATGTGAGCTCTCCATGCTGAGCAAACAGGAAGAGGAATTTCAAAAATTCCTGGGGCTTTAAACTGGTGGTCAGAGCGGTCACAATGGGCTTTGTGGGACACCTCCTGGAGGCCACTTAGGGTGACATAAGCAACACAGTGTTTACACTGACACTGCGTCAGTCTAACTACATCCCCATAAGCCCTATACCTGTTGCCGAGGTGGTTTTATTATGTCGGCGTAGCAGGGGAGTTAAATCAGTGGGAGGAACATTGTAGTGTGTATACCTCCACAGGTAGGTCCATGTAAGCTGCCTTATGTTGACTTAACTGTGTAGTATAAACATGGCCTTAGAGAGGTGATCTGTGACCCTGTCTTAGTCCAATAGCCAGTAGATTTTGCTATGCAAGATCTTGAGCAGTTCTCCATGAGATCTTGTTCTGGAGTACACTTTACAGCTTGTGTTCCCTAACTCCTATGGAGATGTGGTAACCACTGTTTGTCTGAGCAAAGTGGCAATGACCTCTGTGATGACCACCAATGACTTCTTACACCAGCATAACAATGATGTGGAAAGGTGTGTGCACATGTATCAAATGTGGTGGGGTTCTGTGCATGTTGGGGTTTGTAATCTTTGTGAAGTCTATCAAATATGGAGGTCTATGTCTATTTTTTGTGTGTGTGATTTATATAAATTGTGTATAGCAGTTGTTCAAGGGGCCATGTGTGTATGGGGGTCTATCAATTGTTGGGGGTCAGAATTAAATTGATGTGTTTTGTAGGAATTAAAATTAAATGGCCTGTGTTGTGGGGAGCATCAGAATTACTTGGTGCTGGGTGACAGAATCAGTTGTCGGTCTTTTCAGTGGTGTGTGTGGCTTTTGCAAGTTACCCTCACTTTCTTCTTCTTTTTTTTTTTTTTTTTCCCCCCTCTTTCCCCCCCTCTGGAAACTGGCTTTGCTGCTCTAGATCAGTGGTTCTTAAAGCCGGTCTGCCGCTTGTTCAGGGAAAGCCCCTGGTGGGCCGGGCCGGTTTGTTTACTTGCCGCGTCCACAGGTTTGGCCGATTGCGACTCCCACTGGCTGCGGTTTGCCGCTCCAGGCCAATGGGGGCTGCGGGAAGGGCGGCCAGCACATCCCCCGGCCCGCGCTGCTTCCCACAGCCTCCATTGGCCTGGAGCGGCAAACCACGGCCAGTGGGAGCCGCGACCGGCTGAACCTGCGGACGCGGCGTGTAAACAAACCGGTCCGGCCTGCCAGGGGCTTTCCCTGAACAAGTGGCAGACTGGCTTTGAGAACCACTGCTCTAGATTCAACAGCAGGCTTAAGTAGCTTGTGGTGAGTGGGTTCTGTCATAGCATAGCTTGTGGTGAGAGGGTTCTGTCATAGCACCCTTTGAACTAATGGCAGATTCATGATTAAAATCCTTATTTGGGGGAAATGATCTTGTCCCCTATATTTATGTTACACAAACAGTTATTGTTTTTACATGGCAGTAGGACCTGCGAGGGCCCCATTGTGCTAGGCCTTGTACACACAAATAGCAAAAAGATTATCTCTGCCCCAGAGAGCTAATCTAAGCATTGTTTGAAAAGGAAGATGAGATTTTTTTTTTCTAAAAAATTATAATGTTGGCCTTTGCTGCTGTGAATGGCCTGTGCTCTGAGACTTGCTTTATTATAAGAATACTATAATGGTCCAGACCCTTTTCCTTCAGTGCCCCAACTGTGCCTCTCTTCAGTTTCTTTTTGTGATTTTTAGTACTGCAAAAGATATTGAGAGAACTTGACAGTGGTTAGGCTGCTGGTGTACTGAGACCACTGCCAGTCATGCTGACCAATATTGTGTCATTGTTTCCTTGTACTCCACCATCTGTTTGTCTGAATCCATTTTGCCTTATACTTAAATTGTAAGCTCTTTGAGGCAGGGACCATCTTTTTTTGTTCAGTTTTTGTACAGCACCTAGCACAGTGGGGTCTTGGCCAGGAGTGGGCTCCTAGGTGCTACAACAATATAAATAAATAATATGTACAGCTTTAGAGGATGAACTCCTTTTAATCCATGGGCACTGGGTATCAAAGGCCGGGGGAGGCTGAGCCTCCCCAAACAGCCTTGCGTGGCCCGGTCACATTCCACCCCCAGGTCCTCTCCTGCTTCCCGGCACTCTGCGGCTCTTCCCCTGTGGCCGTGACCCTGGGCTGAGGCTGGCCTGTGGCAAGGGACTCTGGGCAGCTGGATCCGGTGCTCACAACGCCTGCCCCACATTCTGGAGGGGACGATCTGGGTTCTGGCAGGGGAAGGCGGGCGGTAGGGATGGGCCGGGGGCTAACCTCACTGAGCCTGTGGCTCACCCACCACTTTTAATCCATGGAAACAGGTAAAGTACAGGGAGCAAGCTTATCCATACTATCTCAACAATATGCCTCAAACCTCCTCTAGTGATGAAAGGGTTGTTCATTATCTATGCTCCATACAGTCCTTGAGCTCTCTGCTAAGACTATCAATGACGGCACTGATTATAGTATATGTTGTGCTTCATATGGCTGTCTTCCAGTAATTGGACTGAAACCTCCAGTGTATGTCTCACAGGCCACTGAAGACCTGTCAGATGCTAATTACTTTTGGTCACTAATGACTTCTGTTGAATTTGAACCAAAGACTGAGAGGTGAAAGACTCCCTGTTTTTATGACCAGTCTCCCAAGCCATCCAATTCCTATATTCCTTTCCTTCTTGTTCTCACTAGATGCTGCACATCAAAAAACAGAGTGTTTTTGGTGTGGCAGCAGAGGGTGTTAATCTGTGTCGTCATGGAAGACTCTGCTGGCTTCAGGTAAGGGGCAGTTAAAGAAAGAGAGAATGTGTTTTTCAAGATGTTCCACTATTAAGAAGGCATAATCAGGGGGGAAAACTTGGGCTAGGTCTACACTTAAAAAAATATACCTGTATAACCCACATAATTAAGCTGGAGAAAGACATTTTATAGAAGCGATTATACCGATATAAAGTGTTTCATATCAGTATTACTTATTTTACTTTGCTGAACTAGAATAAGCTATACCAATATAAGCAATTTGATATAACTGCATCTACACTAGGAGGGTTTTGCTGCTTTAACTATGCTGGCATAAAAGCAGCAAAACTCTTATGTGTAGACAAGGCCTTGATGATAATTGATCTTGAAACAGGTCAGAATATGGGAAGATTAGCTTAAAAGTGTGAGTCCAGAGATGTTTAGATTCATGATAGTATATCATGAACCTTATCTAAATTAAAAGTTGCATTGGTTTAACTTTCAAGGTTTAAAAAACAATTTATTTAAATGTGTCCGAAGCCTGTGTGGATGCTCCTAATTCAATTTTAAATCTGGTTTATGTAAAATTAAGTGTCCACACAGGGTTTGAATGAGTTTCATTAAATTGGTTTAAAATAAGCCAGGGCAACTTAGAATATAAGCAAGGCCAAGTCTTGTATCAAGGTCTGGTGGAAGAGGACAGGATACAGTGTTTTCATTTTAACCCTTGCAGTGAAAGGGGAGACAATGAAAGGAAAAGTTCAGGGGGGCTGTTATTCGCTTTGTTTATATCCAGTGAAGGAAGTGAGGAAATGGAAGGTTGGTTTAATTCAAGCATTGTGGATAGGATTTCTGATATGCATGTTCTTTGCATGTCTGAAAATGCCCATTATGTAACTGCACACAATAAACTACTGAGTTTGATCCCTTATTGCAAGCTAGTCTGCGAGTATCTGTTTGAAAACAGCAGGGATTATCTCCAGATTAATATTCATGAAACTGTAAACCTACTGTCCTCAAGGTACTTTTTGTGAACAACATTCTTTTACAAAGCTGGGTAACAGCAGACCCTCCCCCTTCTTTTAGATCCCTCTCTGGCCTCCCCACATGCAAATAAATTGGGATTGGTTTGTTTTAGGTAGCCACGAGGAGTCGGGTTTTTTTATTTGATATTTTCCTTCTGGGGCCTCGAGTTTTCAAAAATGGACTGCAAATGGTGCTGGAAGACAAGAACATTTTGAAAGTAAGTGTTCAGAAGGGTGGCAGGGTGTATGAGAAATGGTTGAACCACATCAGTAAGAAATTGCAATTGGATATTGAATCAACAGCCATGTTCAAGCATCTTTCTTCGGTTCTTCAGGTCATCCATGACTGCCGTTCGATCTCAGACTGCCTGTCACATCAGTATGGAATCATTCTTTCCAACGTGTTTGATACACAGGTACCCTGCTGACTAGTTTGGTTTGTAACCAGAGAACAGTTTCAGCAAGAGAAAAGCTTATTGGCTTGGTGTAAGGGTTTCTTCTGACTAGGATACGAGCAGGGCCAGCTCCAGGAACCAGCGAAGGAAGCAGGTGCCTGGTGTGGCCAATAGAAAGGGGCGGCACTCCGTCTGTTATTGGGGTGGCACGTCGGGACTTCAGTGGCAGCTCAAGCGCTCCGCTTTAGTCTTCGGCGGCAATTCGGCGGCGGGTGCTTCACTCCGTCTCTTCCTCTTTGGCGGCAGCTCAATCAGGTTTTTCTTCTTTTTTTGCCACTTGGGGTGGCAAAAAAGCTGGAGCCGGCCCTGGATTTTGCTTAGAATGTATTAGCTGTCACGTTCTAACTAACACTCTCTAACACTCCAGTACAGGCAAGGCAAGCTGTATATATGTGTGAACAGATGGTCAAAGGCTTCAATTTGACCAGCCAGCATGTGCTAAAAGCATAGCTTGCCTTGTCTATATTGGACTTTTTGAATGTGTTAGTCAGAACGTGTTAGCTAGAGTTCTAAGTCCTCCCCCCACCTTTTTATCCTAGTCAAGAGAAATCTTAACCTACGAAAAAGGTGTTTTGTTTGAGCGCTGGTTTAAAAATATGTTAGGACTTAGTGTAGACAGGTTTTAACATCTTTAAAGATATGTTAGTTGATCATGATCAACCTTGGTGGGAGCTTGAGGCTTACCCCCACTTACATGGGGTCCAGATTAGCCCCTGGATAGTCAGTGTAAATCTATTTTTACTCTTTCTATCCCTGTTGTAAGTAGGGTGACCAGATGTCCCGATTTTATAGGGACAGTCCCGATTTTTGGGCCTTTCTCTTATATAGGCTCCTATTACCTCCTCACCCCCGTCCTGATTTTTCACATTTGCTGTCTGGTCACCCTAGTTGTAAGTGCAAAAACAGAGTAAATGAGTTAGGCCACATATGTCTACCTCTGGTGCAGCTCCACAAATGCTAGCAACAGTGAGAGTTATAGAGTAGACCAGGCAGCGGTAAAAGCATCTGGTTCCACAGTTGCTAGCTGTGATAGAGCTGCATCAGTACTACACATGAGGCTTGTCTTGACTACAACATTTTATTGTATTAGAACTTGATATTGAAGAAATTAATTAACCAACACTATGCCAACTATGATTCCACTCAGTATAGACAGGGACAAATTGTTGTTTGGCTAGTCATTGTGCTAAACATGACTTGTGAAAAGACATAGTCAGCATATTATAACTTGTCTCAACTCTTAAAATCGTAGTCTAGCAGGATAATTTTTCTTAGTGTATGCAAGGCTTCTCTCCTAACCCATCCCCAAACATATTTTATTTAAATGCCTTTTGGAGCAGATGGATGAACTGTTATTCAGAGTCACCACCAGCAGCCAAATATCAATCAGAATCACCAAGCCAGTGGTAGGCTTTGTTTGCACAAGCAAATTTTTGCAAAACATTTCCTTCAGTACCTACCATCAGATAACCTGCTCTAGCATGGAAGGTTTTCTGGCTCCTGCATGGTTAACTTACACATTGTTGAAAACAATTGGCAGGGCCATCTGCATAGTGAGTGCCTGGTCTAAGCAGACAAGTTGCACTGGAAGTGGGCTGTAGCCCATGAAAGCTTATGCTCAAATAAATTTGTTAGTCTCTAAGGTGCCACAAGTACTCCTGTTCTTATTTTGGTGGGAACTAATATGCTCAATACTCTCTCCCTCCCCCATTGATAGATCTCTTGACTGATTCATAATCAGTCCAACTCTGTCTTGGTGGGAGGTAAATTGGTTTAGTGGCAGAGTAGATGCATTTCCCCCCCCCCTTTCATCAGGGTTGGAAGGGACCTCAGGAGATCATCTAGTCCAACCCCCTGATCAAAGCAGGGCCAATCCCCAGACAAATTTTTATCCCAGTTCCCTATATGGCCTCCTCAAGGATTGAACTCACAACCCTGGGTTTAGCAGACCAATGCTCAAACCACTGAGCTATCCCTCCCCCCTGTATATCTAACATCCAGTATATCTAAACTGATGCAAACAGTCCTTCCACTGCTGTCTCACTGCACCAGTCACTGAAGAATCAACTTGTTTTCCTTTCTGCACTCCATTGCACTGGGGTCAATGTGCCCAGAAGTCACCACATCTTATTGCAGGCAAACCCACATAGACCTCATTTATGAGTTACTTTATAGCAAAAAAATACCAGTTCTTAGAGAGCCACAACTTTTCAGAGGAAAATTCAAAAGATGTATCAGTATGCCTCACTCAGCGGCATGGTCCCGCTGTTACTAACAGCTGTGCAGATATTAGGAACAATGAAATTATTTGTTTACAAAAAGAATCTCTAGTGTAGACATGGCCCAAGTCTGCCTGGCTTGACAAAAATATTTTATTTATCTTCTACCTGTGAGACAATTGTTGCAGTAACTACCCAATCAGGTGCTATCAGTTAAGTGATATAACATTCAATGCAGCCTATTTGTGCATAGCTATGTGTGGCTTTTTATGTACTTTTGTGAAAGTATTGATTCTATAGCTTTACTACTGTGTTATAATACCAAAGGTTATAGTTTTTGTGTATAAATTTGTTTCATCATATTTTTCCTCATTTTTTGTCAATAGTTTAATAATTTAAGAAACAACAAGTTTAGTGAGAAAGGAAGAAATCTAACAGGAACTCTCCCTAAACATATAACTGTAACATTTTAAAGGGAGTGGGTAGAAAACTGTTAGCTCTGAGATTGTACGCAGCCGAAATAAGGATTAATTTGATGGCAGCAAACTTATCTAGAGGCTGTGCAAAGAGTGGCCCAGGAGAGACAGGGATGGCGGAGCCTTGTTCATGCCGTAAGCGACATTTGAAGGCATGGGAAAGATTCCGATTTGGAAATTTTATTTTTAATTTACTCTCCAGTAACAAACTTCTATATTCTCTGCTTTTTGGGCCAACAGATGCTGGTCATGACATACTGATCCCTTTCATATTCCCTCTGCAGGTTGCTGATGTCCTGCATTTCTCCAATATAACAGGTGGGTTCCTTCCACATCGCATCAGCTCCCTACAGGAGTGCTTGATGCGACACCTCAAGATGTCCCCCAAAAAGGTGTCCTTCCTGGCGTACAGGCAGCAGGCTGTTCAAGTGAGTGGCTCAGCCAGTTCAACACCAGTCATTGTCTCTAAGGAGACAATCAAGAACTCCTTGGGGGAGGGATAGCTCAGTGGTTTGAGCATTGGCCTGCTAAACCCAGGGTTGTAAATTCAATCCTTGAGGGGGCCACTTAGGGATCTGGGGCAAAATCAGTACTTGGTCCTGCTAGTGAAGGCAGGGGACTGGACTCGATGACCTTTCAAGGTCCCTTCCAGTTCTAGGAGATGGGATATCTCCATTAATTTATTTATTTATTTATTTATTTATTTAACTGTACATTGCCCCTTTTTAAATGTTTGTCTGTCATGATTGTCGATTGGAGAAGGAGCTTGATGGTAGGAAACTCAGATTAATTGGTGCAGTTTGGGATTGTAACTGACTGAGTTTGACTCTACTTGGTATTATCCAGGCAATCTAACCACCTAGGGAGCACATTAGATGACTGGTGCCACCCATACTCAGGGTCACCAGCTAAAGGGGAGGACATGTGACCTCCCCACGTGACTCCT